TATTACTTGTTAGATAATTATTAAGAATCGATGTCATGTCATTTGTCATGCACTCAATCATATCAGTGATGTTTGTAGTCTTATGTGCTGTGTTTTATAAAAATCTGTGACTGAGCCTCCGTACATGAACTCTGTACATACATTTACTCAGTAACTCAAAGTTTTACAATAATTTTGTAAAATTTCGTTTAATTCTATTTTGCTATGTTTCACCATTTATTCTGATATACAAGAATGCTGCTTCCACATTTCCATTCCAGTTTTAACAACTTATTTGATTCACGGACAATTAGGTCGTGAATGTCTGTCAAGATACAAGCTTAAACGAAAATAAGACCATCAGTGAACTATTGAAGATCGGAAATGATTTAATGGAGGTGGGGAAAAAGCAAGCGGACATTGTCAGCTCATTTGATTCTTTTAATGTGAAATATGAAGCTCTGTCCGCTCGTCTTTACCATGTGTTTCAAAGTAACAAAGAACTCATACAAGTAAACAAAGACTTGAGTCAACTGGTGATGGCGCTGGAAAGAGAAGTTACCGATCTTAATCAATGTCAACGGAGAATTAACCTGTAAGTTAGTGGCGTGCCCATGAGTGGAAATGATACAACAGCCACCGCATTGACAGTATTTAAGAAAACCAGTCCAGAGATGCAGGCAAGTGATATCTACATTGCCCATCGTCTTCCTACAAGAGAAAACAACAGTGAAAACGAACACACCAAACCACGACCAATCAGCGTTATGTTTACCACACGTAATTCTAGAAATTCAATTTACGAAAATAGAAAGAACTTGAAAGACGTTACAGAGAATCTTTATAAATGAAAATTTAGTATTAGTAACACGTCAACTTCTGTTTAAGGTAAATATTGCAAGAAAGAGAGCTAGGTATATTTTAATGGACAAATAATGGAAAGATTTATATTAAGAATAATGTTAATTCAAGAGCTGAGCTTATCTCAGGTGAAAATGACATACCCCGCATTGTTTAATACATCTAAATTGTGGTAGTGAAATAGCAATGTGAATTAATTCCTATTTTTATGACAGACTTAGAAATATCTTCATTACATAAATTCCAATGTAATTTAAGTATCAGCTATGTACATTTATACATGATCTACAATTTCACAGATTGTCACGTGACTTTACTACTTCTCTTTCCATACTCATCATTATCACACTAGGTCGAAGGATAATTCAAACTTTATTCTACCAATGAAAAGGACAAATTTGGGTCAGTTTTCAGTCGATTACCAGGGAACTAAAATTTGGTACAGCTTTCCTCCGGATATCCAATTGATTCGTAGTCGAGCAAATTTGAAAAAAAGAAGCGAAAGACTATTTAATCCACTGTAATTATCCTTAGTTAAAATCCAATATATAGAGGTATACAAATATGTATCTGTGTGTAAACAAACCATTGTAAATAAGTTTATTATGTCTACTTGATTGCCCTTTTAATTAATAGCTATTTAAAAATACATTTTGATGGGAAACAGTCTAGACTAGCTCTGCATGAGCTAATTTCTGTTTTCCAGCCATAGATTAATATTATTATTTATTAATAATTATTATTTTCTATTAATATTTATTAGTTATTATTTATTTATTGTTATTGAATTCTTTTATGTAATCTATGGCAAATAAGCATTATTATTATATACATACCAGGAGTCGTAAAGTGGTGATGTGAAATATGGCAGGAATATCTTGCCATACTTCTAAAGGACGACAGAGGCACTGCTATCGTAATATACCAGGTGACTTTGCAGATGGAAAAGTCAGATCAGACATTATTTAGAGCGAAAAGATTCGGGAGTCAATTACATTATGCAAACTCAAACTATAACATTGAAACTAGCTAGAAAACGCATTGTGTTGCACATATCTCGTCTTCAATTTCATTGTTACCTTCCTGATTATCATTTAGCGTTATTAGTTTGCACCAAAAGTGTAAGTTTTAACAGATAATTAAATCAAATTACAGTAGTTAAAGTATATGAGACATTGAGACATTTTTAAGTTATTGAGACTGGAATGGCCGTGACAGGATAAAACGTACATCTTAGTTTTGATCAACACAACTGGTTCATTGCAGTAAAGGTGGCGTTCCCAATGCTCACGTCTTGATGAAGTAAAATACAACCCACCTTGAATATATTACATACTTGGTCATATGAGATAATGATAGTTACGATCTGCATCTACAACTTTTTAGGATATTTTGAAATCCAAAACACGTCTGTGGTCAATGCTAGGTTAACACAATCTTTCAAATTATGAAAGTCAGAAATCCTGCACACTTGTCTGAAGTATCATTCTGGCTTGGCCACTAATGATATGTTAATTAAAACAAGCCTCATACAACCTGATATTATGAAGTAATGGTCTCTGCCTTTAGAATCCAATACATCTTAAGGCACAGGCGACATATTTATTTGGGTGGTCAGATTGTCAACCAGGGCAATGTTTTTATAGATTCCTTTGCCTGGATCTAGTATTATCTTTCATGTGTATGTAATGACAATGTTTCTTATACAAAGCATTCCTCCACAGAATAGAGGGCAAAAACGCTCGTACCCACATAGTTGAAAAAATGTTTTTTTATAGAGCTGGCCTGCCACAAAGTCGGTGTCAAAGATATCGGCCTGAGCAAAGGCCAACTCGTTTTCATGCACACGCTTGACATTAATTCGCTTGGAAATATTTTTGTCCATGGTCTTTTCAAAAACTATGTTCATTGGCTTGATTAGAAATCAAAATTGTGCAATGCTTATGCACTAATATGGGAACAAAATATTACTAAGATATATTACAATTATTGATTATAAGTAATTCCACTTCCATTGCACAGTGAAGAATTACAAAAACACAAATAAAACTTCAAAATATTTAATTCTTACAATAACCATCACACATTGAACAAACAATATTAAAGACAACACTTTATTCGCATAATACACCCCTTGCACAAAATTTCACACCCATTGCTGCTTTACTTTTTCATATCTTTTCATGAATTCTGGCGAAAGATTAAAACGTGGTACATGAATCAGTATGTTCTATATTTGAATTTGTCAATATAATGTCAATCTAAGTAGAAGCTAAAATCAAGGTCAGTAATTATATACTCCACTGTCTCCATAGACAGACACGCATCAGCTATCACAAAAGTACTGTTTTAAAATAATATGAATTTATTTACTTTTGACCAATATCTAAACTGAAAGATAAATTCTGCACTATGCTCATAAAGTCATTTGTTTGTTTGTTTGTTTTTTTGTTGGTGCAAAAAAGTATATGTCAGTAGACCAAATTTGCACTACTATTAGACAATCATCAATGTTATCAGGTGTCTTATTCAATTTTGTTTCCGGTATAGTATAAATTATACATTTATGTAAATTTGATGGTGGCGTGGCTAGTTAAAGCAATTATACAATTCCAGTATCTGACTCCTCTATGGAGAGAATAAGAAATGACAAACATTTCCTATACCGTTATGTAAATTTATATATTTCAGCTTTTTTGAACTTCAGTTTTTTAGTAAATTTGAAAGAAAAATCTGATATACCACATTTACAAATAACATTATCATGCTTATTGATATAAGCTTTCTAGATACTTGAGCATTAATGGTTTTAATTTTTAATAATATGCTCTGTTTCAAACTACATACCGGTATATTTGTGGTTAGATGTACGGCCTAGATAACTAGAACTACAATTTGTTAAAAAAATCATTTAGATTTTACAAACATGTTACATTATATATTACGTTATGAATTGTTATTTTACAAGAACAAATTATTAATAAAACACTGACTCTGTAGAGAGCTAACCGGACAATGCAGTAAAAACAGCTAGCTAACAGGAAGTGGTTCTGCTTGTGGGTGTTGTGTTATGTTGTGTGGCATTGCCTTTTGATAGATTGTGAAGACCCGAAGTCAGCATAAATGATGAATAGCAGTTTATTACGCTTTGGAAAGTCGTCTTCTGTAGACAACGAAACGCCAAATATGGGATAAATGCCGCGGGATAAACGCAGTAAAATGTTGGTGTCTGTTCGTCCGTGTCCGTCCGTGTCCGTCTGTCTGTCTGTCTGTCTGTCTGTCTGTCTGCCTGTCTGCCTGTCTGCATGTCTGCATGCCTGTATGTCTGTCTGTCTGTCTATCAGTAGGTATAATTGCATACATGTTCCATCACAAATAACACAATTTATTAAACATTTACTACTGTAATCTATGGAGTGTCAGAATGCAATCATTGTCGGTATAACTATGCAAATTAGATTGAGGAGACCAATTATTATGCCAGTTTCCAAGGGTACTGGACTCCATTCAATCTGTTGCCCTCGTATATTTCAAATAAATTATGCATGATTCAAACAAACTTTGCTTACATCATTTTTTGCGTAACCTCGTAATCAGAGACAATTGTAGCAGTAGTTCTAAAGTAGAGTTCTGTCAAGGTGACACTATTTATACTGCTTATTTTCACAGTTGGTCGCCTCTCCCGATTGCTACTACATGTAATAACAATTGAAAATGTTAAAGGTAAGAGCACATACCCGAGATGTATGAAAGGATACGAAAGTATACCACGTTATATTTTGCAAATTTTGAATACGTCGATGCTGCAACTGGCGGTAAACTCTGAAAGTAAACGTTTCGCTAAATTTGTTCTTCCTAACGTCTGTTTAAATGATGTATAATAACATTTTTAACAAACTACTGCTACTTATGTCACCGTACATCATATGCTTCGGAATTGTTATCACGTGTTCACCACAATAATTGATATTTAAGAGATGAGATATCCCGAAACACAACATGTATTGTTTTGTGCAGGGGGTATACCATCTTTTAACCAGCACGCTCCAACTTCTTTTCCTGACTTATGGAAGACCCATGCCACACATCCAGTAAATTCAATACAAGATTGACAGCATGATTCAGCATCTGCATGTATATTGTGTGTACCAAATAAGATATCATTGGCAACTCCTGGAACCTCTGGTCGTGCAGTATTTTCAGTTTTAAAACAAACTATAAAAAATCGGACATATATGATATATTATGATTATTATTCAAGTCTTTTCGGTCAATCAAATTCTTGTATTTGCTGGTGAATTATTATGTGTTGCTCACTTTTGTGATCTAAAAATAGTTGATCATATGTTAAAGTTTCTCGCCGTTGTTTTCTGGATCGCCCTAATTCTGTGGTGTTTTACGAGGTATTTTCATCCTACCATATAAGGAAATGCGAATTCCAAATATTGAATAATTATGCGAGTAAGCGTCCTCTAATAATGAAAACAAACATGGCTGCCACCAGGGTTTGTACGGACTCCACATAAAGAAGTATGTTGATTTTGTACTAAACTTTTCGGATTTCGGCATTCCCATGATGTTTCTTTGGAAGCAAAAGATGTATAATAATAAGGTTATTACGAGGATGCCTCAATGTATGCACTCAGACAGTACACCTTTGTATCGACCTTCGCTGCATGTCGGTCGATACTCCCACTGTACGGTCTTCGTGCATACTTTGAGTTCTTCTCGTAATAATCTTTTATTCTTAACTTCAAATACTTACCATTATTCGGTAATGTTGTTTGTAGTGGGTGTTCAACAACAGTGGGGATATAATCTTTAACACTACCTGTGGTTGGATAATCTGTAACACTACCTGTGGTTGGATAATCTGTAACACTACCTGTGGTTGGATAATCTGTAACACTGCCTGTGGTTGGATAATCTGTATCACCGTGTGATGACGTAGTTAAATGAATACGAGTTGCAGTTGCAGTGTCAGTTGTTAGTGGTACCCGAATATTCAACATGTTCAACACTGGTGAATAATTATTTGTTTTGTAGACTTCAGCTAAATTCGAAATAAAATTTAATAAGGAATGACATTATTATTAAACACTAAATATTTTATATCAGTAATGCCATTTTGATGTGTATTCAATATTAGTCAAACGTGTATGCACCATAGACACGCGCAACGCAAATAAACATATTCTATGCCAGGATCAAAAGGGTACATATATTGCGGCCAAATAGGTTTAATTACTTGACTGTATAAATCTTTTTGATATATTCAGGTAATCCAATAAAGCTTCTTGTACAATTTGTTCAAACATACAATTCGTTTCACAGATATAATGAATGTTGGAATCGTTGAACGCATGGAGCCTGGAACGCACACAACCTGGGCAACGCTTTTTACTTTTCTATTATTTCGTGAAGTAGATAAACGTCACTTGAATATATCTGATAGGTGTGAATTGAAGAATGGCCGCGTTATTTATCGGAAGTAAATAGTGCTATGAGATGATCAATCATTTCTGGTAATGTAAAGTTGATCTAATCACTCAAATCTAACCAGAAACCAGTATGTAGAATCATGTATTGGGTTTGATAGAAATCATGCAAACCAACTCAACGAAACACTTGTCAACGTGATATTGATACAAAGAACGTCCTCTTCATCTCCGAAAAATGGTTCTACATATGTTCATAAACTGTGATTTTAAAATTGTGAACACATTGGCGTGGCATCAAGTAACTTCATGTAAAGAAATGAAAGTACATTCGTCTATCATATTATTTGGGGCACAAATGAGAGTGTGACTGGCCTATCCTATCCCATTCTGTCGATGTCGATGGGAGTGTCCTTAATTTAACAACAAAACTTTTCAAAAGCAACACAGAAAATTGTCATATACCTTCGTATGATTGTCATCCACTACGTGTACTATGAGAAAAGAAGTGTATGCAATTAAAACTTACTGTGACAACATCCCGAATTGCTGAACAATACTGCCATTAGTGTGATCAACACTGTCATTACAACCACTGGGAAAACTACAAAAATATGAATTATTTCTCTTGAATAATTCACAGCAGTCCTTCTTGCATCCATATTGCACGTAGGTTAGCGGGATGTCTATTTGATGTATTCGAACAAAGCCCGGGGTACAACAGTAGCATTAAAATAAATAACTATTACTGCGCACAAAACCGCCTTTGCCAGCTGTCGTGCAATAACGTGTCGTTCTTTATCATCGAGATTATATATAGTCACCAAAGTTGTAATTTCATTTACGTCGGGACTATGACAACCATGTGTAAAAGTTATGGTATGTCTAATATCGAAGGTATATGTATATAGTATTTCATCAGATTCGAATGTGGTCAATATATTATAATTACTAGCGAAATTGTCTTAGTTCTTGTAACACAAATTTGAAGGATATGGGCTGCCGCAATATCATTCCTAAATCACACCCAATTGTTGAACACATTTGATCTGACCAAGTTGTGTTTGAATAGTTAAAGCTAGTCATACAACATGATTTTATGCATCACGTGGGGCGTAATGTAGTGATAACAGTCTTTCGGTCGCATAATTTTACATTGTTATTCGTTTAGTATTCAAAACTGAGGACTACAATCATTTCAATGACTATCTTGTGATGTAAGTAAAACCAAATACTCTATTGAAAGAAGTGAATATTTACAGCGTGTGTCTCTTTAACCGACCCTCACTAATAAACTAATGGTTTCAGATATAAGACGGCATTTTCGAAAGACGCGAACCATATGGCGCTTAGTATAGGAGCAGAATTCACAAAGTGGATCAGAAATTTAATTAGTTAGACTCGAAAATGGGAGGTCGACCACCAAAATATTATCATTGTAGTTTGATACACAATTTCAACTGCAGGCCATCTCTGAGATCATTAGATCACATTTTGTGGGAAATACAAGTGTTTTCAAATAAAACTTCATTGACAGTACCAGAAAAATAAAAATATTCCTAAGAAAGATACCAGATGTGTTCTTCTGATATCACAAGGTGACCAGGCAGCTTTGTACGGTGCAACACCAACATCACTTAAACGTTTAATTTTGCGGCACGGTTTATTTAATTCCTCCTTTAACTTGCCGTAATGTATATGGTATTATTATAATTATAAGAAATATACTATTATATAATAATATATATTTAAAAATAGATGGTTGAGTTTCCCGCAGTTATAGCATCAGAATCAGAACGAATTGTCCAATTAAACTAATATTTTAATTATGGATGCTCCGTTCTCTAAACTGTCATCAATTGAGAATTTCCGGTAAATCGACTTTTGACGTTTCCTGTTGTTGAAGCTTTCTAACAACTTTAAGGGATATTCACTGTGTACATGCAGTGACGGCATTATGTACTCGTGAATATGCAAGTAACTGTCCATTTTCCAAAATACAATGCCCTTGGTGTCGTGAAGCACCAAATCGGATGTATAAAACACATTATTTCGGCACTAAATAATTATTCTAATGCTTCCCAACTTCTAAGATGTATTACCAAGGGATTTTGATATATATATACAATTTTGAAAGATATTTAAATTATAGAGAACCCGTTCTAAATTATGGAATGTGTAGGCTAAAAAATCCACGGTAATATCAGGGGGAAA